TCTGTTTACCCTCGACACCGCTTCCCCCCCGGTTGGTGCGTCCTCCCAGGTCGCTGCAGCTTGTTCGTGTCGTTCCCTCACTCACCCGTCCCTTCTCTGGCACCACCGCTTTGGTCACCCTGCTCTCCCTCGTCTGCGTCACATGTCCCAGCACGGTCTTGTCTTAGGTCTCCCCACGTCGCTCCCTGCCCTTCCTCCCTCGACTGCGCCACTGTGCACGCCTTGCGTCGAGGGCCGCCTCCGCCGTGCTCCTCACTCCTCCTCGCTGTGCCCTGCGACTGCCCCCCTCCACACCCTGCACCTGGACGTCTGGGGCCCTGCCCCCGTCCCCGGACCGCGCGGTGAGCGCTACTTCCTTGTGCTCGTCGATGATTACACACGCTACACCACGGTGTTTCCTCTGGAGCGGAAGGCCGACGTGCCCGACGTTCTTCTACCGTGGGTTGTGGCTGCGCGTCTTCGCTGCAGTCTCCCCGTGTTGTGTCTCCACTCTGACCGTGGCGGCGAGTTCGCCTCTGGTCGGCTTGGACAGTTCTGTCGTGCGGAGGGCATCACCCAGACGTACACCTTGCCGGACTCGCCACAGCAGAATGGGGTTGCTGAGCACCGCATTGGCTTGGTCATGGAGGTTGCTCGTACAAGGACATATATCTAAGGGTTGTACTCTCTAAGAAATGACCCTATACAGTCTATACAAACATTGTAGATAAACATGTTTGACACACCCCCTAGACTGCATAGGGGCAGGTTTTGAACAAGCAGCTCAGGGCGGCACTACTAGTCCAGCCTCTGAGACAAGGGTCTAAAGACCAGTCAAAAGGAGTACAGACAAGACAAGAACAAGACCAGGACGGCACTACTAGTCAAGCCACTGGGAGAGGACACAAGTCCAGTCTGAGTACATATGCAGACATATATAGAATAGTACAAGGTCAGGGTCCTAGCAAGTGAGAGGCTACAGGAACTAGACCCAGCTGTACACAGTGCCTCTGATGATCTTTAGGCGCAAGCGCCTTCGTAAAGATATCAGCTGTGTTGGCACCAGAGGCCAAGGGAACTACGCGGGCCTGGCGGCGCTGCTGTAGCTCGCGCAGGAGAAAGTACCGCAGCTGAATGTGCTTCGCTCTGCCCTCAAGCCGAGGCTCCTGACACAGGAGGATCATGGCCCTGTTGTCAGCGTACAGGACCGGGGCAGAGCTAGGCCGCTCACCTAAGTCAGTGAGCAAGAAGGTCAGCCAGCGGAGCTCCTGTGCCGCTATGGCACCAGCGTAGATCTCAGCCTCACAGCTGGACTGAGCAACAGACGACGAGCGAGTAGATCTCCAAGAGATAGCACCCAAACCAAGGCTAAAGCAGTAGCCCTGCGACGACCTGAGCGTCTCAGAGTCGTCTGCCCAAGACGCGTCTGTGTGCCCAGTTATCAGGTACATGAGGCAACCCACCAGCTCTGCGTAAGGGCCGCTGGGCTCTACTGGATCCTCAGGAACAGGAGCGGAGAGCCCGTGGTCTACGGGTAGAGGTGTGGGCTGTGCAGAGGAGAACTGAAGGCCGAACCTCTGAAGGACCTGACGCACCAAGTGTGACTGTGTCAGAGTGATGGTGCGTGCTGCTCTGTCCCTAGAGATCTGCAGGCCAAGATAGCGACGCAGCTCTCCAAGGTCAGTGCAAGTGTGTCTCTTCAGCAGCTCGGCCTTCACTGAGGCCAGTGCGTCCCTGTCAGCAGTAGCAAAGACCAGGTCGTCTACGTATACAAGGATGTAGAACGGAGTCTGGCCGGACCGCACAAGAAGCGAGGGGTCAGAGGACGACGGAAAGAACTGCAGGTCTGCTAGCGTGGCACGCAGCGTGTCGTGCCACTCGCGGGGAGCCTGACGCAGGCCGTAGACCGGGCGCCTAAGAAGCCACTGGGTCCCAGGGGGGAAGGTACCAGCGAAGCCCTGTGGTCGGCGCAGGTAGACCTGCTCGTGTAGGCTGCCCTGAAGAAAGGCAGTAGAGAAGTCGAGGGAGTGAAGCTCGTAGTCGCGCTGTGCTGCTACGTGTAGCAGCGCCCAAAGAGTGGTCATCTTCGGGGTCGGGGCGAAGGTCTGGAAGAAGTCCACCCCCTCGCGCTGACTGAAGCCTCTGGCCACGTAGTGCGCCTTGAAGACAGGCGGCTCGCCTGGGGGCGCTTCACCTTGAAGAGCCACCGACCATCGACTACGTTCACCCCAGGTGGGGGAACTGCGTCGACGTAAGTGCCGGTGGACCTCCAAGATGCCATCTCCTGCTCCATGGCAGCTATCCACTGAGAGGCCCAGGGTCCCAGGGTCCACAGCCGTGAAAGATAGAGACTGCCGGCGCACTGCTCGACTGAGCGATAGTGCGCTGGCGAGTCTCGATCTCGGTGAGGGTGTCGACAAAAGCAGTGAGGGTGAGGTCAGCCGGGTGCTGGCTAAGGAAGTGATCGCGGGCACTAGCGAGGCGGTCCGGCAGGCGCATGGCGATGAAATATAGCGTCATGCAGAAAGGAGGGGGGAGCGCATTGAGCTGTGCAGCAGTGCTGGCAGTGCGATAGCGGGTCTCTAGGGCACGCAGGTGAGCGGCAAAGTCTGCGACGGTAGGGAAGGCTGCAAGGTCTGGGAACAGCATCGGGAACAGCAAGCGGCCAGCAGAGGCAGACGCGGGTGTGGAATAGCAGGCAATGACTGCGTCTAAGTAGGCTTTGGCCGTCGCAATGGTAGCAAAACGCGAGCGTTCAGACACAGGGAGGGCGTGGCTAATAGCAACCTGAGCGACCGCATCGCGGGATTCCCAGACAGCACAGGCAAGTGCAGCAGTAGAGAAGGTCTCACGGGCATCAGAGGAGGGGTCAACAGGGAGGGGAACGGGCGCAGGGGGGCGGGGGAGCAAACCATCGACATGGACAACCAAAGAGTGGCCATCCTGACGCTGACCTGTAAGGTGGCGGCGGAGGTCAGAGAGCCAGGCGGCGAAGTCAACCGCGTGGCCCTCGGCGTCCAGTCGGAGCACGAAGTCAGCCATCGTGCAGGGTCAGCGGCACAGCTCCGCAGGAACAGGACAGCAGCGCCCTCCAACACGACGGCCGCAAAACGGCGCCCCAGCACGTGCGAGCAGGTACAAAGAGGCGCCGGCCGGTCAGGCACGGCGGGTGAGGCACGGGAGGTGCGGCAGAGCCAGGAGGTGCGGCAGGGCCGGGCAGGCGCGGCGAGGCCAGGCAGGGGCGGCGGGGCCAGGAGGCGCGGCAGGGCCAGGCAGGCGCGACGGGGCCCGGCAGCGCGGTGGGGCCAGGAGACGAGACGGGGCCAGGCAGGCGCGACGGGGCCAGGCAGCTCTGCGGGGCCAGGAGACGCGACGGGGCCAGGCAGGCGCGACGGGGCCAGGCAGCGCGGCGGGGCCAGGAGACGCGGCGGGGCCAGGCAAGCGCGACGGGGCCAGGCAAGCGCGACGGGGCCAGGCAGGCGCGGCAGTGCCAGGCAGACGGAGCAGGGCCAGGCAGGCTCGACGGGGCCAGGCAGCGCGGCGGGGCCAGGAGACGCGGCGGGGCCAGGCAGGCACGACGGGCCAGGCAGGCGCGACGGGGCCAGGCAGGCGCGGCAGTGCCAGGTAGCGCGGCGGGGCCAGGCAGGTGCGGCAGTGCCAGGCAGGCGCGACGAGGCCAGGAGACACGGCAGGGCCAGGCAGGCGCGACGGGGCTAGGCAGGCGCGGCGGGGCCAGGCAGCGCGGCGAAGGCCAGGCAGGCTCGACGGGGCTAGGCAGGCACAACGGGGCCAGGCAGGTGCAACGGGGTCGAGGAGGCACGAGGGGCCCAGGAGGGGCGTGACGGGCTAGAAGGCGCTGCAGGGGCCCAGGGGGGGCGCGACGGGCGAGGAAGCGCTACAGGAGCCCAGGAGGGGCGCGACGGGGTCTAGGAGGCACGATGGGGCCCAAGGGGGAGCGACGGGACCTACGGGGCACGAAGGGGGCCCAGGAGGGGCGCGACGGGGCCTAGGCAGCGCGATGGGGCCCAGGGGGGCGCGACGGGGCCTAGGAGGCGCTATGGAGCCCAGGGGGCCGCGACGAGGCCTAGGAGGCACGATGGGGCCCAGGGGGGCGCGACGGGGCCTACGGGGCACGAAGGGGCCCAGGAGGGGCGCGACGGGGCCTAGGCAGCGCGATGGGGCCCAGGGGGGGCGCGACGGGGCCTAGGCAGCGCGATGGAGCCCAGGGGGGCGCGACGAGGCCTAGGAGGCACGATGGGGCCCAGGGGGGCGACGGGGTCTAGGCAGCGCGATGGGGCCCAGGGGGGCGCGATGGGGCCTAGGCAGCGCGGTAGGGCCCAGGGGGGCGCGACGGGGCCTAGGAGGAACGGAGGGGGTGGCGGGGCCTAGGAGGCACGGGCGGAAGCGGTAGGTGGAGGGGAACCAACCTACGGGTGATACCATCTTAAAGGAAAACTGAATAATGATTGACTAGAAAGAATTGTACAAGGACATATATCTAAGGGTTGTACTCTCTAAGAGATGACCCTATACAGTCTATACAAACATTGTAGATAAACATGTTTGACACATAGTGCATGGGGGAACGGTGGGTGAAGAAAAGGCAAGTTTGGCGCAAGTCACGGCTAGGTTCGGCGAAACCCCCCACATCGCCCTCGCCTCCTCTCGCCCTCGAGTTTTGCCGAACTTGTGGCACCTTGCCGCAAAAGCCATCTCGGCAGTTGTGACTAACCGAATTGTGGCACCTAAATTGTCGCATGGAACAAACCCTAGAGCGCGTGAATTTGTGCATCGATCAATGCGCTCCCCTGCCAATGTCGAGACGAATAGGTTGTGTGGGGTACGGGGGCTGGCCAGCGGCAACTGGCGCATGGCTGTTTGTTTCGGTTCGATTTGGCGTGGTCAAACAAACAACCATGGTCTGGTGAACCTCGAAATCTCATGGACCACCAGACCAGACTATCCGGCTCAGGCTCGGGTTATAAGCTGAGGGGGAGAGGGGAAGCGTAAGCGCGTCCATAACGACAATCTGGTGCAGTGCTGGTTTTGCAATCAGGTGCTAATTTACCACAAAACTCTAAATCCTACACCCACTAGTTGCATTATTAGCACAGCTGAGGTGGCTATGCAACAACCTATCAGCCTATAAACCCCCAAATATCCTACAATAAGCTAATCTGGAAGACGACAAAGAAATTGAATCCTTGAAGGAGTTGAAGCCAATCTTGAGGGAAAAGGTGCTTGGCCAAGCACCCTCACTTACTGCATTGCCACGCACCACATTGCCTGCTGCAAACCATGCCATGCTGGCAACCAAGCATCCCTTGACATGTGAAGCTCTCACAATGCCATTATGGATGCATTTTCTAAAAACGAGGGCACAGATGTGGATGTAAATGTGGATGTGCATGTGGGTGCGGATGTGGATGGGTAGGGTTTATGGAAAAGCAGGGCAGGGCAAAGTGCAGACAAGTCCCGGCTTCTCACAGACCGTTGGTTCAGCCATGGGTGCTCCAACACCTCAAGCGAGCTCAGCCGTCGATCAGGGTTGATGCAGAGCATTCGGCGGATGAGATCCTTCGCAGCTGGGGAGATTCGTTTCCAGCCAGGAGATTCGAAGTCTATCTGCAAACTACTGTTCATGTCAACAGGTACCATGCTGGTATCTGAAGACGAAATAGGGGCTGAGGTGAGTGTGTGGAGAGTGACATTAGAGAATGCAGGGTCCCTGCCAGTGTAGCTGTGCGAAGCATATGCTGTGGGTGCATAGATCGCCTGAGTGGGGTCATTCTGAGATTGAGACGCCATCACATGCTGCTGCTGCTGCCCATGGTGATGCCTGCCCCCCCATATAATGCTGCCCCCCCTCCCTACCCTGGGATTGACTTGGCCACATTTGCCACACTCCCTGCTCCCCCTGCTGCCACCTCTGCTGCTGCTGCCACTCCTGCTGCCACTGCAGCTGCTGTTGCTGTTGCTGCTGCTGGTGCTGCCGCTGCCACTGCTGCTGCTGCTGTTGGTGCTGCTGCTGGGCGTGCATGATGGCCAGCAGTTTAGCCGGCTTGACGATGGGCAGTCGGCCAGTGAGCATGGAGCACAGCGTGATGCCCATGCTCCACACATCCGCCTTCATGCCATAGCCGCACTCACTGCCTGCATCCTCGTCTTCATCAGGTCTTGCTTCATCCTTCCACCTCGCTTCATCAACCTCACTGCTCTCCACGGTGCCTTGTTCCCCTCCTCCATCCTTCTCCCCACTTCCCCTCACCACCCCTCCTCCCCCCACTGCTTCTCTCTTTCCATTCCCTCCTTCCCCAATCTCCTTCCTCCCCTCATCCCTTCCCCGCCCCTGCTGCCCTGACTCCGCCTCCTCTCCTTTGCCATTCTCCGCCGCACCTCCAGCAGCAGTATCTCGGGCGCCATGTACTGCCGCGTCCCCGCGCCCTTGTCCGCCATCGCCCCGCGCATCCCCCCCGCCACCACTGTAGACAGCGCAAAGTCCGCCAGCTTCACCCCCCAGATGCCCCTCTCCGCGCCCACGTGCGCCCACCCCGCGCCCATGGCGGAAAGCGTGCTGCTTTCCGTGGAATCGCCGTGGAAGGGGGAGCACCGCTCCCCAAGCCCTCCGCCAGTGGTAAAAGAAAGAGGGCGGGGAACGGTGGGTGTGGACGTGTGTGCTAGAAAGTGCGACACAAGCGTAGGCGAGGGAGAACGGATGTGGGGGAGGGCGCAGGCGCAAGGGCGCCAGAGAGGGTGGACGAGAACGAGGGGAAGGCGGAAGCAATCGGGGAATGGAGAGTGGCGGAAGCGGAAGGCTGGGGGTCAAAAGCTTGTGAGCGCGCGTGCGAGATCGAGTGCGCAGCACCAGCAGCAGCAGGAGCAGCAGCGGGTTGCGCGGTCAACTCAGTAGCGCCGCTAGTCGGCTCATCCCCCACCACTGGATGCACGCGCGTGCTCCTCCCTGCGAACCGCCGCCCCACGACCTTCCCAGGGACAACCCTCAGCGGACTGTCCGCGCCCTTGCCCTGCGCGCCGAGCCCGTCGGAACCCGCGGCTCTACCAGCGGCAGCGGAAGGGAACAGCCGCGCGCCCATGAGCCATCCCCAGAGGCTCTCCTCCGCGCGGGGCTCACGCGATGCCTTTCTCCCCCGCCCGCCGGCAGTAAAGCCGCGCTGCTCGCTGCCGTGGCTCCGTTCACTACCGTAATGCCAGCCTTGGTGCTCGGTCGGCCTGAGCTCGGTGGGTCAGCTACTCCTCTTTCCATGTGACATGGCGCTGCAGATAATGCTCCTGCGAATGCTGCTTTTTCGCCCGTTTGTTTCGCCACTCTCTCCAACGCCGGCTCCGTCGCACAGCCTGCCGCATGCTCCGTCACAATGCACGACCCGCCGACGGCGGTACCAGGAGGAGGGCGGAGCAGCAGAACGTTATCCGGCTTGATGTCGCGGTGCATGACGCCCGACGCGTGGCAGTACGCGACGGCCGATGCGAGCTGGCGAAACAAAGCCGACGCGAGCGGCTCGGCGATGGGGCCGCGCTTCAGAATCTCAGTCAGGAGGTCGTCGCCGGGCACCAGCTCCATCAGCACGTGCACCTCCGCGTCAAGGGATGCATCGGACGGCTGAGATGACGCGGCAGATATCGGACGCGCGGAAGCGGCTGTAGGAGGTAGGTCTGTCTGGGCACTCACTGCGGTTGCGCCTGTCCCAGCTCCGCCTGTCCCAGCTGCACCTGTCGCAGCAGCGCTTGCCACATGATTCGAACGGTCCTTAACCACCGCATTTGTCGCAGGTCGTCTCGTTTCAGCTTCAGTGATGCGCGTGCCATGCACCCTTGTACGAGGGTTCAGGGTACACGCAGTGTCTGGCCCTCCTGCGACGCTGCTTCGTCGCTCGACGATCACGTCGAGCAGTCGCACGACGTTCGGATGGTCGCCCACGATTTCCAGCGATCGCACCTCCGCCGTAATGTCGCGCATCGGAGCCTGCTCGATCGCGTAGCTCTTGCATGCGACCCGCAGCGATGTCGCAATGTCCTCGCATTCCCAGACGACAGCCTGCGACCCCGCGCCGACGCGACGGATGCGACGGTATTGCCCACCAATCAGCTCATCACCTAATGCGTTCTTGGAGAATTTCGAACAATCGGCGGCAGCATTCAAATCAGCGGAAAACCGCGGAGCCAGGGGAACAAGGGGGAGCGGAGCCGGGCGGAACGAGGTTTCGGCGCACAGTGAGTTGACGATCGCAGATTGGACAAGCGGGGCCGGAGCGCGCACGAGAGGGGACAGACTGTCCGCGTCAAATACACCACGATGTGCTTCAGAGCCGGGGTGGGAGTCTGTTTGGGTCATGGAGGCGATTCTTGTCGCGACCTTCGTCGCCTTCTTCGGCGCAAGCTGCCGGTCATAAGCGCCCCACGCCGCCGTGGCAGCGGTGTGACCGCAGCGCCCTCTCTCTCGCCCTCCCTTCCCGGCGCGCGAGAGCCGCGTGGCTCTTCAGTGGCAGCGGATGCCTCGCCTTAACTGGCCCCTAAACCCTAAGCATGCCGTCTCCTCCGTCTGCTCTCTCTCTCTCCCACTCCTCAACCCGGTCGTCTGTCTGCGTGGCAGGTTTTAGCTGCAGGCAATGTTCAGCTTCGCGAAATCATGACGGCAAACGTGGGCTTGAGGGGAGAAGGAGTCGAGGTCTCGCTCCGATCAATCGATCATACTCGTGACTGGACGTACTCGTGAGCGTGACCGTATGACTCTCAGCTCCACAAACTTTGGCTCGGCCGGGGGAGGAAGGAAACTCGGAGCGAAAGAAACAAGACGAGCTTGAGGACAAGGAGTGAGAGTACGCGTGGGGAGAGTTTTGAGAGTGGTCTACTTTATGCCTATTCGTGCTGCTGTCTGGTACCGACTTACAACAAATGGAGATGTTTCCAGCCCTGGGAATCAGCAAGCAAGGCTGCCCTGCCGGCGCGAACGGAAGCACTGGATCGCTACTGAGTAGAGTGGTGCGCCGACAGTAGAATGGTGCTGTTTGGGATCGCGCGAGGGCCTTGTTCCAATAGTTGATTGTGAGGTGATTGAAATAAAGGCTCACGCAGGGGGGCTCGCTATGCTGTAGGTGAAAGTGACTCTATCGCCAAGATAGCGAAGCGCACAGCCAGAAGGAGACAGCAATGTGGGATGATGAAATTGGTAGTTTCCACACTGAAGTGCCCTGGGCAGTTTATAAAGACCGTCAAGGAATCAACTCTTGAAAACGAGTCGTATAACCATAGAAATTATCACACTAACTGTACCGAGATTTTTCCTGCTTCCAAGGACAAAAGCATTTCGTTGTGGATTTCAGAACTTTCGTTAGGGCACGTTACGTAAGTTCTGTTCACACGATGTCGCACTCATGTGCTCCTGGCGGCTCGAATGCGTTGCCAGTTTGCGACAAAATGATGAGCTGGGTGCGAAGATGAAGGCTAACGATATCGTAAAGCGTGTGTTGCGAAAAAACCAGGGTGAGGTGGATACGGGGGATGTGATGGGTCGAAGATGCATTCAGCGGAGCACCACAGAGCTTCGTGGATGTGGCACAAACGAAGTTCGGGGGATTGAAGTGTACGCTACCGCTTCGTTATATGGTTTTGTAACACAAATTATCACAATGTAATGAATTTTATTCCTTATCAGGTTGTACTGCAATATCGTACACCCGAACTCTCGGAAGTCCAGGCTCGGTCCGATTCCGACGCAAACCCGAGGCTGGATTGCGCCGCCTCCGGTCCTTTCGACCACGTCTGTACCCAGTCTAGCCTTCCGTGTCGAGAGACCCGCTGGGGTTACCCTTTAGAAGATCCTCAGGACACAGGTGCAGAGCCTGGGGGGCTATGGACACACTGACCCACTATTAACAAGCCCTTTTAACTCAGTGGTTAGTGGCTGAGTTCTGATTGAGTTCTAACATGGTATTAGAGCGTTGGTGACTCGGCTTCAATTCTCAGTGCTAGCGCTGCAGAGGCGCTTGTTTACTCCGCCTATCCCGGCGAGGGGGGGTGTCGAGAGACCCGCTGGGGTTACCCTTGAGAAGATCCTCGGGGAAGGGCCACAGGTGCAGAGGCTGGGAGGCTATGGGTGCACTGACCCGCTATTAACAAGCCCTTTTAAATCAGTGGTTAGTGTTTGAGTTCTGATTGAGTTCTAACACTCAGGGGTTGTCGCCTAGCTAGAGCTCTCGCTATATAGTGCTAGGCTCCCATTCTTGTACTCATCATTATTATTCCGCGCACTCTCAGTTATTATTCGTAACCAAGTGGTCCTGGGAGTCCGGATTGCCACATGAGCGCCCCCAGGACCACAAGAATGAGCTAGAACTTGGCGTGCAGCCAATCGTCATGACACAGTAACGGCTGACTCAGCCCGAACTCATGGAGTTGCGGAGCTAGCTGGACCATCTGCTGGAGAAGGGTTTCATCCGCCCCAGCACGTCCCCATTCGTGGCGCCCACCCAAGAAAGACGGAGGGTTCCGAGTGTGCATTGATCATCGGGGTTGAATCGCAAAGCGATCAAGTTTCGCTACCCAATCACACGTGCTGACGATCGCGTGGACCAACTTCGCGGAGCTCGCTTCTTCTCCAAGATCGACCTGCGAGGTGGTTACCATCAGATCCACGACTTCGCTGACGACTACCACAAGACGGCGATCCGAAACCGTTGCAGCAGCTACAAGTACACGCTGATGCCATTTGGCCTCACGAACGCGCCCTCAACATTCCAGTTGGCCATGAATGGCGTGATCAGAGATCTGCTCGACAAGTGTGTCATCATCTACCTCGATGATATTCTCATATTCAACAACACCAAGAAACAACACCTCAAGGACCTCGACACGGTTTTCTAACGGTTGCAGCAGAACCGCCTCATTACCAAAAGTGCAAGTTTCTAAAATCGGAACTGAAATTTTTGGGACACGTCATTGGATCCGCGACTTTGCTGACGACTACCACAAGACGGTGATCCGAACCCGCTACAGCAGCTACAAGTATACGCTGATGCCATTTGGCCTCACGAACGCGCAGTCAACATTCTAGCTGGCCATGAATGGCGTGTTCAGAGATCTGCTTGACAAGTGTGTCGTCGTCTACCTCGATGATATTCTCATATTCAACAACACCAAGAAATAACACCTCAAGGACCTCGACACGGTTTTCTAACAGCTGCAGCAGACCGCCTCATTACCTAAAGTGCGAGTTTCTAAAATCTGAACTGAATTTTTTGGGACACGTCATTGGAGCG